AACCCCCCCCCCCCCCCCCCCCCCAGCATGCTTTCCTGCCTCATTCCCCCTCCTCCTTCCCAACGACAACCCCACTTGCCCGCTGTCACTGACCGATCACGATTTCTTGTTCTCTTTCCACATTGCCTATCGCTCGTATTTCGCCCATCTCGTTCAGTGGCTCGTTGCGAAGCACACGGCATTTTTTTTAATTTCTCATCTCGTGCCTGCCGCAAGCAGGCCAGCGAGCTCTCTTGGCCACTGGTCGACCACTCATCTTGCCTGCGCCTTGCCCCCCGCCCCCCGCCCTCTTGGATTCGGCCATGCCCCCAGCTCCAACGGTGCATCGATGATCGATTCCGTTACAAGTCGCTCCGCCCAGCTTGGTCGCGTGCTTCCCTGCATCGAGGCCAACACGGGCTCAACCAAAGAAGACTACATCTACGTCTTCGTCTTCAAGGCCAGAGGCAACCGATAGATCCCTGATCCATCCTCCAGCCCTTTCCGTTTCAACTTGCTTTTATCCCCCTACCCTTCCCGACTGTACTGGGTGAGTTGTTTTTTTTTTTTGTAAGGTGCCAAAACCAAAGGTGAAGGTCCCCGCTCCTGCACGTGCACAACTTGCAAACCGAATTATGCATCGCACCTCATCACAGCAACTTTTACTTCCTTTAGAAGCGCGCATCCGCCAAAATGCGCTTCCTGGCAACACCGCTCGTCTTGCGGTTTGCCGCTGCAGCTCTCCGTCGTCCCGCGGCTGCGGCATCGCCAGGTACTACTCCCGCCCAATCTCAGCTGCACCGCTGAGCAATCTGAGCAATCTACAGTCGAGTTTTGGTGATGTTCATTCATTTCTCCCTCACTGTATGGCCCTGTTCCTTGATCCGGCATTGTGTCCTCAGCTTATTTGCAGGCGGCCACCGTGTCCAGCAGTCGTCGTCAAGTGCCCATGCAGCTTGTCCTTGAGGACGGCACCGTTTTTGTACGTCCTCGTCTCTGCCTTTTTTTTTTTTTTTTTTTTGTGATGTACACAAATCAGCTGTCACTTGTTTTTTTGGTGGTGCATCCGCTTATTTGCTTGTTCGCTCATTTGCCAACGCACAGAATGGCTATTCCTTCGGCTCCACTAAACCCTCCACGGGTGAAGTTGTGTTCAACACGGGCATGTCTTCTTACCCCGAATCTCTGACCGACCCATCCTACCTCGGACAAATCCTGACCTGCACCTACCCACTCATCGGTAACTTTGGAGCTCCAAGGTACACAAGTCGCTCCTCTAGACCTTGCCCAAATGCACCGTCTCGTACCGATATTCACCAACTCGGGACCATGCACCGCCTTGTCTATCTCATTGCACAGCTACGAAAAGGATGCCCTCGGTCTTTACAAGCATCTCGAGTCTGGCCGCATTCAGGTCTCCGGCCTCGTTGTTTCCGATTACTCTGAGCAGTACAGCCATTTTGAAGCCGTTCAATCCCTCCACGACTGGTTACACAAAGAAGGTGCGCACCTTGCCAACGCTCTGCTCAATTATTTTTTCAATCTCCCCTGCCTCCATGCCAGGCATAAAAACACAACCTGGGCTCATCATACCAGCTTCTCATCATAATCCTCATTCTCAACTGCCTATGGCTCGCCTCTTTGTCAGGCGTTCCCGGTATCTGTGGCATTGACACCCGTGCCTTGACCAAAAAGATTCGTGAGCATGGTAAGCCACGGGTAGCCTGCGTACCCCCCCCCCCCCCCGGCCCGTGTCTTCCATGTGCCCCCACCCCATTCGCCTCAATCACCGCAATTCATCCTCACATTGCTTTTTTTTGTCGGAACTGCCACCAGGCGTTATGCTGGGCAAGATTGTACCTGCTGGTGCCGACTACGTTGTCAACTTTGAGGATCCCAACAAGCGCAACCTGGTCGCTGAAGCTTCGCGCAAAACAGCCCAGACTTTTATGCTCGAGGAAGGCTCGGACGTCGACATTTTGGCCGTTGATTGTGGCATGAAAGATAACATCATCCGCCAGCTCGTGCAGCGCGGTGCTCGTGTCAAGGTCGTGCCCTGGAACCATGATATTTCCCAGGAATACTACGATGGCCTCTTCTACTCCAATGGACCCGGTGATCCGGCCATGGCCACCGAGACGATCAACCACCTGCGAAATGCTCTCAAGCAGGACAAGCCCATCTTCGGCATTTGCATGGGCCACCAGCTCCTGAGCCTTGCCGCTGGCGCCCAATCCTACAAGCTCCCTTTTGGTAACCGTGGTCAAAACCAACCCTGCATCAACCTCGAGGACCGTCGTTGCTACATCACTCCGCAGAACCACGGCTATGCTATCGACGCCGAAACGCTGCCCGAAAACTGGGAGCCCCTCTTTGTCAATGCCAACGATGGCTCGAACGAAGGCTGCAAGCACGTCTCCAAGCCTTTCTTCTCCGTCCAGTTCCACCCCGAGGCCGCAGGTGGCCCCCAGGACACCGGCTTTCTTTTTGATCGCTTCCTCAGCCTCGTCCGTCAGTCCAAGGCCAAGAGCCCTGCCCTCTCCATGCCCATTGGGCCTTCCCTGGCATCGGGCAAACCCCTGGACGCCACCCTGCCCTCCCACACCGACCTCAAGTTCCCATCTGCTGCCGTCATTGCCTCCTACCCGCCCCTCAAGAAGGTGCTCATTCTGGGCTCAGGCGGCCTTCAGATTGGCCAAGCCGGCGAGTTTGACTACTCAGGATCCCAGGCCATCAAGGCTTTGAAGGAGCGCAACGTTCAGAGCATCCTGATCAACCCCAACATTGCCACCGTTCAGACAGCGGAAGGTCTGGCCGATCAGGTGTACCTTTTGCCGGTTATTCCAGAGTTTGTGCAGAGCGTTATTGAGAAGGAACGCCCCGATGGCATCTTCCTCCAGTTTGGCGGCCAAACCGCTCTCAACTGTGGTATTGAGCTCGACAAACTGGGCATCCTGAGCCATTACGGCGTGCGCGTTCTCGGAACCTCGGTGTCCTCCATTATTGCCACGGAGGATCGCGACATTTTCGCTGCCAAGCTTACCGAAATTGGCGAGCGTATTGCTCCCAGCATTGCCGCCACCTCCACCGAGGCGGCCATTCAGGCTGCCCATGAGATTGGTTATCCCGTCATCGTGCGTGCTGCCTTTTCTTTGGGTGGCCTTGGCTCTGGCTTTGCCCATGATGACGCCCAGCTCCGCACCCTGTGCTCGCGCGCCTTCAGCTCCTGCCCCCAGGTTCTGGTTGAAAAGTCCCTCAAGGGTTGGAAGGAGATTGAGTACGAGGTGGTCCGCGATCAGTATGACAACTGCGTCACCGTTTGCAACATGGAGAACTTTGACCCCCTTGGTATCCATACTGGTGATTCGATCGTTGTTGCCCCGTCGCAAACCCTCTCGGACAAGGACTATCACCTGCTGCGCTCAGCCTCCATTCGCGTCGCCCGCCAGCTGGGCATTGTCGGAGAATGCAACGTGCAGTTCGCGCTCGACCCCTTGTCGCGAGACTATTGCATCATCGAGGCCAACCCGCGTCTCTCCCGCTCCAGTGCGCTGGCCTCCAAGGCCACTGGTTACCCGCTCGCCTTTGTGGCCGCCAAGCTGGCCATGGGGGAGAATTTGGGCGACGTTCGCAACTCGGTCACGGGCACCACCACCGCCTGCTTCGAGCCGGCTCTCGACTACGTTGTGACCAAGGTGCGGGCGAGCGTCCCCAGTTCTTGGTCCACTCATGATGTGCCGCAGAGTCCTTGGCAGTCGGTACGATGCTCACACATGCCCTTTACCCCGGCCTTAGATTCCGCGCTGGGATCTGAAAAAGTTTAACAACGCCAGCCCCATCCTTGGCTCTGGCATGAAGTCGGTTGGTGAGGTCATGGTACGTAGTGGCTGTCGTCCTGGTCCCGACGGCTTGTTTGTGGCCAACCCACACATGTCTGATCTTTTGCCGTGCGCTGTACCCCACGATTAGGCAATTGGTCGCTCCTTTGAAGAGTCGTTGCAAAAGGCCGTCCGCATGGTCGATCCGTCCCTGGACGGCTTTGAGCCCAAGGCCTCCAATGATCTGCTCGAGTCATTGAGCGTGCCGACCGAGTCTCGTCTCTTCTCTGTGGCCGAGGCGTTTCGCCAGGGTTACACCGTCGACCAGATCTATTCTCTGACCTTTATCGATCGCTGGTTCTTGTACAAGTGTAAGAACATCTTTGACATTGGCATGGAGCTTGAACAGCACAGGTGCGCACAAATTCGTCTTTCACTTGATGCATTGCTCGTGGCGTCCTTTGGGCCCGCGCATCTCGGAAACACGCACTGTACCGATGCATGCCTGCTCAACGGTCCCCCTGACTTGCCATCTGTCCCTGTCGTTCACCTTGTGTTCTGTTTTCCTGTGGTTTAGCCTGAGTGATCTGCCTGAAGACCTGCTTCAAGAGGCCAAGAAGGCTGGCTTTTCCGACAAACAGATTGCCAAGCGCATCGGAGCGTCTGAGCTTGCCGTTCGTGAAAAGCGCAAGGTTTGTTCGGTGAATGGTCCATCTTTGCTTGACGGGATTGAATGAGCTAGCCTGCTGCTGCTTTTGGGCCAGTGTGACTGACACTTTGTTCGCGTGTTTTCTACATCATTACAGGCGGCCAACATCGTGCCCTCGGTCAAGCAGATTGATACCTTGGCCGCTGAGTTCCCGGCGCAAACCAACTACCTCTACACCACCTATCACGGTACCGAGGATGATGTTGATTTTAATGAGCACGGTACCATGGTCCTGGGCTCGGGTGTTTACCGTATTGGTAGCTCTGTTGAGTTTGACTATAGCGCCGTTCAATGCATTCGTACGCTTCGTGACCTGGGCAAGAAGACGATCATGGTCAACTACAACCCTGAGACCGTGTCCACCGATTATGACGAGAGCGACCGCTTGTACTTTGAGGAGCTCTCTCTTGAGCGCGTCCTGGACATTCACGACAAGGAGAACGACTCGGGCGTCGTCGTCTCGGTCGGCGGTCAAATTCCCAACAATTTGGCCATGCATCTGCACGAGCAGGGCATGCAAATCCTCGGTACTCATCCCGAGAACATTGATCGCGCCGAGGATCGCGACAAGTTTTCCAAGCTCATGGACGACATTGGTGTGGACCAGCCTGCCTGGCGTGAGCTGACCAATTTGGCTGAAGCCGAGGACTTTTGCAACACTGTCGGCTACCCGGTGTTGGTGCGGCCCTCGTACGTGCTCAGCGGTGCTGCCATGAATGTGGTGCGCACGCCCGAGCAGCTCGATCGCTATCTTCGCGAGGCGGCCGAGGTGAGCCGTGATCACCCCGTGGTCATTTCCAAGTTCATCCAGGGCGCCCGCGAGATTGAGCTGGACGCCGTGGCACAGAAGGGCGAGGTGGTGGCATATGCCATTGCCGAACACGTGGAGCAAGCCGGTGTGCACTCGGGTGATGCCACTTTGGTCCTGCCGGCACAGGACTTGGAAGATAACATTTTCCAGGGTATCCTCGAGTCAGGCCGCAAGATTGCCGCTGCCCTACAAATTTCCGGCCCCTTCAACGCCCAGTTTATTGTCGAGGACTCTGGCGCCATCAAGGTGATTGAGACCAACCTCCGTGCCTCGCGCAGTCTGCCCTTCTGCTCCAAGGTCATGGGCATTGATTTCGTGGATCGTGCCACTCGCATCTTCTCTGGCGAGCATGTCGAGCCCATCGATTGTCACACCGTTGCACCTCCCTATGTTGGTGTCAAGGCGCCTCAGTTTAGCTGGTCCCGTCTTCTTGGTACGTTGCGCGCTGCACGGCTGGCTGCTATGGCTTGGGTGCCGTGATGTCTGCAGGGTTCTCATTCCACATCCCACGCTGTTTTTGTTTTTGGCCCTCCCGTACTTTGACGATGTAGGCGCTGATCCAGTGCTGGGCGTGGAGATGGCATCAACTGGCGAGGTGGGCTGCCTCGGCACCAGCAAGCACGAAGCCTTCCTCAAGGCTCTGATGTCGGCCAACCTTCGTCTGCCGCGCAAGAACATCTTGATCATGGGTGGCGACGAGAAGAATGCCTTCCTGCCTTCAGCTCGCGCACTGGCGGCCATGGGCTATTCGCTGCTGGCTACGCCCGGCACGGCCTTCCACCTCGCCCACCACGGCGTCGCGGTGACTCGCCTGTCCATGCCACGCCAGGACGACTACTTGGCGGACCCCCACACACCAGACGTGCTGCATGCCCTTCGCAATGGCAAGGTTGATCTGTTTATCAACTTCCCCCGCGTCACCTCGTTGGGTCAGGAGCCCAACACGGACGAGCAGCGCAAGACGTATCGTGTGCGCCGCGCCGCAGTGGACCACAACGTGCCGATTATTACCAACCTGAAGGTGGCGCAGCAACTGGTCGAATCTCTGGCCAAGACTCACAAGTTTGGCGTTGACTCTTACCAAGAGCTTCGTGCCGAGGCCCGTGCCAAGGCCGCCGCGGCTGGCGAGAAGGTGTATACCGAACAGGATTAAGTTTGTTCCCATGAGAGATTGATCGTGATAGAACATTCTTCTTCCACTGTGGGGATCGATGTCCTGTGGCCCCCCGTATTCCCTTGTCTCGGGTGCTTGTGAGTTGAGTCTGCTGTTCAACTTTAACTTTAATTTTGGCCCGCCTCCGCAAGTCATGGCACCCTCCCAATTCAAACCTTTTTCAACCGATGCGAATTCGCCTCTTTTTTTTTTTTTTTTTTTTTTTGCGCTTGAAAGATTCGATTACGGGGAAAGTGATGTCCGATGGCCTAGTTGGCGGTCAAGGCCAGATGTTTATAGTACACGCCTGTATGTACAAGCAAACACAATTGCGACAGTCCAACGTGTGTGGCTGGGTTTCTGCCGCTGGGATCGCCTTTAGTGGGTGGCAAAGGTGACCTCGGTGATGGAGCGTTGGGAATCAGGGATTGGGTGCTGGAACTGCTGCCGGATGATGGCGGCCACAGCTTTGATGTCCTCAAAGTCCCGTACGCCCAAGCGATTCAGCTGTGTTGCATCAATGTACTGGAGCTGCGGCAAGCAAAAAGGGTTGAGGCAGGGGCGTGGCGGGCAAGTCAGCTGTCTCTGTATCGAAAGTGGAGCGAGCGGTGCGCTTGTCGGTTGCCAAGCCAATGCACTTGAGGGTCGGCATGATAGGGCAAAGGAGAGTTGAAGGGTAGCCATGACGGGTGGCGGGAAAATGAAAGACCCACCTTTTGGCCATCCACAAAGTTTTCTGTAAAGCAGGCAGCGTAGCGCTCAAAACCAGCCTCGGTGATAAAGTTTGCAACCTGCAGCGGAAGAGACACAATGGCGCGCTGGTTGAGGGTGGGTTCTGTTGGCCGAGGACTTTGTTGGCTCATCAGTGCAAAGACTCATGTTCCAGGGGCGGCCTCACCTGAGTTGTGGTCCAGCTAAAAGCCGGGTTGGGTTTGACTTCTGCGTCGTGGTCAGTCTCGGTGTCAGTCTCGGTCAAGGTCTCGGGCTCGGCGTCAGGGCTCGCCACCAAGGGCGGTTCGACCATCGATTCAGCCATGGCACTAGCTTCTATGAATGATCAACGACAACGATGGAAAAGCAGCACACCCGTTCCAAACGGACACGGTCCAATCCCTATATTGTCTTTGCCGTCCAAAGCCAGGCCCATGCAACAAGCAGCAATCGCATCCACAAGGCGACCGCCGCCGCCGCCAAACTGAAGAATTAAAATTCAAGTGTGTGTGTGTGTGTGTGTGTGTGTGTGTGTGTGTGTGTGTGTGTGTGTGTGTGTGTGTGTGGTTGTTAAGTATTGTGTGTTGATAGACTTTTTGCAGCTAAAAACGAGGATGTTGAAGCAAACCGTCGAGGTTATCACTATTACAGCATAAGAGATGATGGGGTTTATGTTGTATCTGGTCGATTTGGCTTATTTTTGTTTATTCTTGCGTTCTTGCTGCTGGCGGCTTTGACGAACGGCAGCGGGTCAACGATCAGGGCTTGAGTGTACAGCGTCGACAGAGCGTTGTAGCTGGGTGGTTTGCGCCCGCTTGCTGATCAGGCTTGGAGGGCCGATGGTGCAAGAGTTTTGGAGGCGTTAGGCGCCGTGAGCCGGCTGATTCGTGTTGTCCTTTGACGGCCGCGCGTTACAAAAAAAAAAAAAACACGACCAGACATCATGGGTGACATGCCCGGGTTTGATCCGTGCGCTTGCGCCAGCGCACCCAGCAATATGGCGAGCAGGCTGCTTGAAATGGTAAGTGATGATGCTACTGGTTCTTTTGGGATCAAGCAGGCGGGTCAAGGGCCTTTCACTGGCAGATGCCGCCAGGCGGTTCTACCTTGTGTTCAAATACGGCGTTTCGTAGCTCCTCCGAGGACGTGTAGCCTCACTTTTCCCTATGTTGTTGTTGCATCGGCTGAAACCCAATCGGGGTTTGGCATAATGGCATAATGGCGATCTGGTGGTGGTGTGTGACCGGCATGTCTTGTAGCTACGGCATGCCCAGGATGCATGCACAGAGTCGCACTGCTTCGACAATACCGCCCCCGAGGCTGCGCAGGGCTCCGGATTCTCAATGACCACCATGCTCATGGTTTGGCTATTTCTGGCCGCCTTGCTCTTTCTTGCCCGGTCTGTTGTGCAGCCGAGCTACATACCTTGCTCTGCTCACAGCTCTTCATTTCCACCCCATTTTGCGAACCTCTTGTTGAACATGATAATATTTTTTTCCAAACTCATTGCTGTCTTGTTCCGTTGTGGCTGCTGCAGACCACAAAGCCTGCGCACCTCAGCCCCAGAGAAACCGGCATCCCAGGGTCCAGGTGGCGGCCGTGACCATGATCATGACTCAGACCCATCGGCGTCGGCACACTGAGTGTTGGCCTGCTGACTTGTGCAGACGTCCACAACCATGTTTACTGCTTCTGAACGCCAGGGTGATCATTGAGTGTAGTCAGTCTTGTGCATGCCTTCCAGATCTTGCACATCCTATGCTGTGTCTTGTCCAACTTCTGTTCGGCAGCCGGTTTGTCGCTGCCTGTGTGCACGTGGTTTGTTCAATATGTATGTGCCACAGTCTCTTTGAGTCCGCGCTCTTGTCTTCGCCAGAAATGAATTGTTAAGCTTGATCTTTTACGAAACTGGTCGGTCCTCGTCACGGCAATTCTCACGATTGCGTGTGACTTGCGGGGAGTGAGCCGATACCAAACGCATGACTATGCGTAGTACACATCCACGGTCGACTCCACAACGGCGCGGCACATGGGGCAGAGCGCGTCGGGCAACAACTCGGCGCACTGTTGGCAAACAGCCAGATGGCCACAAGGCTGGAGGGCCACGTTGATCTGGTGATGTAAGCAGATGCGACACGCCTGCTCCTCCTGGCGCTCCGTCTACCCCAGTGCGGGACGCAAAGTTGACCAGGCAGGGGTGAGACCGCAACCACTCAAGGAGAATGGGTTTGCAAATGCGTGCAGCATCACCAACCTCAAAGTGCCGCACAACCTGCTTGACCTTCTCTGCCAATTTTGCCTGTAAAATCAAGTCCTATTGCGGAACCAAGAATATGATTAGCACGCGCCAAATGGGAATCCCCTGCCGTCGTGTGCCCGTGGCTGGTCACGGCACACCTCTGTCTTATGCAAAGCTTCATGCAGCTCTGTCCTTTGCGCTTGTAGTCGGTCCAGGGACAGGGTACCAGTGGTTGGGAAAGCATGCACGAGCCCACCCACGTCCAGACGTGATTGGAGTTCATCCGTGGCACGCAGAGCATCTTGCAGGAGCTGATCCTTTTGGGCTAGATCACGGCGTAGCTGCGAGACTAGGGCCTGGCAGCGCGCCACCTCTTGACCGCGTTCGTGTAGCTGTTGCTTTCGATCTCGAACCACGCCTTCAAGTTGCTCCACTGTCTCCGAGCGGTCTCGGGCCTGCTGGGCTAATTTGGTGCAGCGCTTTTCCAAGCTCGCCACCATCCCCTCACGTGCTCGCAACTGCTGCTCAAGCTGCTCTCGGCCCCGGTCCATGGCTTGCATCTCATCGCGTGCCATCATCAGTTGACTCTGCGTATCTTGCACCTTGTGCAGTAGCTCTGGTACGGAAGGCAAGCGGCTATCCGCAACGCTTTGCTCATGGGATACCGGGGCAGCCGGCTGAGACGGACGAGGGCGTTCATGAGGCTAGGCCCAGGGCACAGCACCCAAAGCACGCCGGCTGCCCTCGCCACGGGCGTGGACATGCGTTTGTACCTGAAGTGTGATGGAGGCATCCTCTTCATTTTTGGTGGTATTTTGACGGGAGGCTGAGAATAACCAGGGCACGATCTGCAAGATAGGGCGAATGATTGCGGGGGGCACCTTCTTGCAAACTGTTGCTTGACGGAGGAACACTTGAACACCCACCTGTTCACGCCATATTTGCCCAGCCCTTGTGTGCAACCAACGCTTACGGACAAGAAGACCCAGTCCAAGGAGGAGACTCGCGACTACACTCGTCCAAAACATGGACCAGGCCACACTGGTGGTGGTATCTGAAGCATTCGAGGCGCCCCATGTGCTGTTGCTACGCATGGATTGTTGAATGGCCTATGCGGTGCAAAAGGCAAGCCGAAGCCATTCAGCTGGGGCGCACGAGCGCACGGGCATGACTATTTCAAAATAAATGTCGACTTCAAAAACCTCGTCAACGACCAAAGCTTCTTGTCCATCAGCCTGAATGGCGGCGCGCATATCATCGACGCGTTGTTGATTGACGACCTACAGAGCACAGAGTGGACGACGACGGATGGGGGCCAAGCAGGAAGGAGAAGGCTTCGCAATGAGGACACACGGGAAAGACAAGGGGAGGATCAAGGGTTGACATACCTTGCGGTAGGCCGTTAGGAGGGCCAGGGCATCAGCATCAGCGCGGCGGACAAGAATATCACGCCCGGCTTCTCGCGCAGTTTGTAGCTTGCGGTCATTAGCTGCACGGATCATGCGCCGAACATCCGCCGGGGCTGCCTGATGGAAAAACATGCTTGAGGCAGCAGCCGTTTGGTGTCTTGCTGTTGGGTCGGGGTGCCAGGGCGAAGGGCTGCAACCGGGCAGTGCGGGACTCACGACATCGAGGGGGGTGCTTTGGAAGAGGCCCATTTCATAAAGGGTCCGCGGGTCCAATTCACGGCGCTGAGCATCAATCTTGATGACTTGAACAATGCGATCAAGCGAAGGGAGGCTGTGGCCACCAGCACAAGCGGCTGCATACGGGACCGCAAAGGCAGCAGGGTGAGCTGGCGGCAAAGCGCTTCGAATACAATCCCGCGGCGAGCACGGAGCGCACCAAACTGCTTCACGCAGTGGACCAGACAGAGGGCAAAGGTTCGCGCATGGCTGGGGTCCGCGTTTGCCGTTTCACCTTGAAAAGTACTCTGTTGGGCAAGATGGGAAGCCTTATCACGACTGTGCAAAGGATTTCGTGGTCAGGGAGTTGGGACAGGGCAGGGCAGGCAGCACAGACCTTGAGGCGTTCCTCCTGACATGGAATAAAGGTGCTCAAGAAAGACTGCTCACACAGGCTCAGCTCACTAGGGGCCGCGACTTTGGAGGACGTGACTTCAGGCTGTTCGCCCACCTGCGTATCCAACTCGAGCCGTCTCGTATTCGAGCCGGCTTCATCCTCGGTGGTGCGCACGCACAGGGCGAGGGCTGCCAGCAGGAGGCCGACGAACAGCCCTGGCCGGGCCCGGCAGAGGTGTTTGCCCATTGAAATTGCAACCCCAAATCACAAGCAGTTCCTTGCTTTCTGTTCCAAAGCTCTGTCACGGCTCTTGGCTCACACGCGCTCTGACGATCCCAGCAAGGCCGCGTTCGCGTTCGCGGGAAATCGCGCAGTTCAGCGGCTTATCAAGTTTTTTTTTTCTTGAATGTCTGGAAGCAGGCAAGCAACACAAGAAATTAAAGTTAAGCAAACTTCCCAAGACCCCTCCTACCTAACATCCTGTTAGTATCAAGTTGATAAAACAAGATGTTGTCGTGCTGCAGCGAGAGAGCGCGCTGGGTTCAGTTTGCTCTGCACCCGCCCACCAGCTCGCTCATCGCTCGATGCGGTTCGCTCGTTTGCAGTCTGGTGCGACGTGCTGGGTTAGGGTCCGGCATCTTGCTGCCCTTGCAAGAGTGTTGAGGTCGATTTGCGTATTGGGCAACTTTTTGTTCCCTTGATTAGGATTTGCCTGGCTGCTGGATTGAACCACTTGATCCTCAACCGACAGCATGGCCGAGGTGGGTGGAACTGCATAACCGACCACTTTGGGCGGGCACCTCTCCAGTCATCACCGTTTCTGCTGACTCATTGCCTTCTGAGCTCGAGCACGCCTCTCACAACGAGCTATTTCCATGTTTAGGAGGAGGTGGTGCAGCTTCGCCGCTCGGGCCGCGGGGAGCGGCGGCCTCGACGCCGCGATAGCTTCACCGGCGGCCTCGTGCACTCGGGCCAACAGTCGGTGGGCTTTCACGCGTCGGGCTTTCCCATCTACTCTGATATGGCGCGACACCTAGACAAGGACTTGGCCCGCCAGCTCTCAATCGATGAGGACGATCCGGGTGCGTGGACCACGCCCCCCCAGCCTACCTTGGGTTTCTTGGATGACCTCTGTCCAACTCCCTAGGGCGTCAAGGTCTGGTTTGCACCTTCCTCCTCATCCAACCTCACCTCTGCGCATGGCAGATGTTGGTTCTACCCCCATGCCCCCGGCACCAGCGCTGCCCGATGAATACAAGGGCATCGAGGGCTTGGAAATGCCGTCCAGCATGTCGTACTCCAAAGAGGGCGTCTACGATTATTTACCTGCGCAGGGCGGTCGTGCCGGAGGCACGACTGAAACCGCAGATAGTGTATGTATTGCGCCCTGGGTTTGCACGCCTTGTGCAAACACGTTTGCCTCTGAGGTTGAGGTGTCTGCTCAACGGCCGACTCGAAACGACTCACCTGTTCTTTGTGAGTAGGATGAAGACGGGGCCAATGCGCTCGCCATGCCTTCGTCGATGAAGTATAGCGAGGAGGGTATTTACGACCAAGTGCCCATGCGCGGCGAGCAAGGGTACGACTGGCTGAGTTCCTCCTTGAACTGACGTGTGCCTCGTGGTGGTCCCGCTTGCTGCTGCTACCTCAAGTTTCTGCCTCGTGGCCGTGCATTCTCACGCCCATCTCAAACGCTCTGGTAGATATGCCGAACAGGGCTCGCAGTACACGCCTGCAGCTGCACAAGCAGCATTGTGAGTGATGCACCTTTGGACAAGCGTTTGATCTTCCTTCACTTCCTGACTAACGTTTGGTTGGACGCCATTCAAACAGCACGGACGTCGTCGTGCATGACTCGGACATGCGCAAGGCTTTCATTCAAGGACGTACGCTGGATGACCCGGACCGTGGTCAAAAGTGCTCACGGTATGCAGCCTGCGTCGCCTTGCTCCATTATTGCTCCCCATCTTCCTCGGCTGTATCTGCACTTTGCGCCGTGTCCATCACCAAAGGAGGGACACATCCAACATCAGATGCGCAACGCTTCGCTTATGGAGTGACCATGCGCCCATGTGTTCTTTTGCGCGCAAACCGTAGTTGTGCGACCTGTCCTGGATTCGATCCTCACTACTGGCGCAAAGTTTGCAAGTGGTGCCGCTGTGCGCGCGCCGAGTACGTGAATACCATCGTAATTGTGCCTGCTTTGCCCACTTTTCAGGTTGAGGTGCCACTGCCCAGGACTGACGGACGTTCTACATCGCCTCCTGCTCTTGTCGAACATCATATCAGGCACTTGCACATTGATAACACTCGGGCCGTTGACCTCACCAAGATGGTGGCGACGGGCTCGGCCCATGGCAGCGATAAGCTCAAGCAAAAGTTTGTGCCGAGTGTGCTGCTGGTGGCGAGCTCGTCGTTTGTTTGAAATCTCACGCCATCAAAACCCACATGTACCCTCTGGCTCTTGGCAACCCCATGCTATCCTTAGATACGCATGGGTGCCCATGGGTCTTGAGATCAGCCTCATCGAGGCCTACTTTCGGGCCCTGCCCACAGAATGCGTCCCAGCCTTGGGCACACCGGGGGAGATTTGGCGTCGACGACAGGTGGGGTCCCTTGCAAGTTGCTGTGACCTTGGCTGTTTATGACTGATGAAATCTCATTGAGGGCCTTGGCATGTTATCTGTATTTTCAATAGTTGTTGGTGCAAAACCCGGCTTACGACACCGATTGGCACCAGTGCGACCAGCTCACCGACAAGGAGATGACACGTGAGCTGCTGACTTGCTCAATCTAGAGCTCCACACAAACACTCTTTGATGCTGATGCATTAGCCTCATGCATGACTGACTTTGGCCTTGGGCAGAGTTTCGCAAGTTTGATAAAATCCGTCTCAAGGAGGCCTTTGATGTGGGCGACGTGATGCCCTGCCCTGATCTCACGTACGCATCCTGATCCCCATCCCCTTGCGATTTGGTACTCTCGGACTCCAGTCCGGCTCACCGACTCTGGATTTGGGCCACAGGCGACCGCCAGACTGCAGTGAATGTTTTCTGAAGGTAATTCCCACCAAACCGCGTGCCAGCATTCTTGCTGCCCACTCTGAGCTTTCACATGGCCTTGTCGCAGTGCAACACCTTTTGCCACTTGAGGTCACTTGGTCGAGAATCTCATTGCCCCGCACCTGCCACGTTGGTGCTCGCAGGAGGACGGCACGCACTGGCCATATTGCTCCAAATATCTGCCCGCTGACGCGCTGGGCGAGAGCTCCTCGACGGACCCAGATGTGGGCCACCGTGACTCGGTGGGAAGTGCTGTTGCGGCCCTGGGCCTGCCCGAGATGGCCGATATCAAAAACATGCGCAAGTACGGGGGTCACACTCAACCATGTCACCGTGGCACCAAGGCTGCCATGTAGCAACGCGAAAGATGGCAGGTGTAAGACGCTCATCTTTCATCTTTTGAGTAGAAAGCGCAAGGAGAAGGTCAAGCAGGTTGCAACACCCCCGCCCATGGAACTGCTCAAGCGCAAGGCCATAGCTTCCGGCTGTACGTCTGCTTTACCGTTTGCCGTGCCCTTCTGCTTTTGCCCCTCGCGTTACCCCCCTCCTGTTCCAGAGATTCAAATTTTGACGAAGCGCCTTGAACTTGTGGTCATAGTGTCGTGCCGCCAGTGTCTGGTGGGCCTGAACGTTGGAGAGCCCGTGGTCAAGATCGACCGATTCGAGGATGACGAGCGCTCCTACTTCCATCCAGCCTGTCTCCTGTGCTCACAGTGCGGCGAGCTGGCCGTTGATTTGCGTTGTTTTGTTGATTTCGGATGGGTGCGTGCTGCGTGTGCTGCGTGTGGCGTCAGCGGGAGGCGGCTTGCCTTCACAGGCAGCACGCGCTTGCTTGCTTGCTTGATACCACTCTTACCAAGGGTGCTGCTGGGGGCTTGGTATGTAGGAGGAGCGCGGAAAGCAAGGCGCTGAGAAGCGGCTCTTTTGCGGACGTTGCTGGTCGGATAATCGCCGCCCACGGTACGTGGCCGCTCCGTTGCAGGTCCAAGCCGCGTTTGTGTTGCTGCTGCAGACGAACACACTTTGTCACCTCAATATGGTTGTTCTCGGTCGTCACGCTGCCCTTGCTAGGTGCGCGGCGTGCGATGAGACGATTCATCAGGGTCAGCATGTGAACGAGCTGGGTCGGGCTTGGCACTTTCGCCACTTCAGCTGCTACATCTGCGATGCCAATTTAGTGGTGCAGGAAACCTACGTGCCTCGCGAACAAAAGTCAGTGCTCTTAGCGGCGAGGCTGCCCCTGCATCACCCACGCGAGTCGCGCCAAGCCAGCCTGATCTTTTTATTGCATCTTTGCTTGTTGCCGCGCACAGACCGCTGTGCATCACCTGCTACGAGCAGCATATTGCCGATAAATGCTCGCACTGCAAGCGGGCCATCAACCCATCACGGGACTCTGGCGGCCGAGTCAGTGCATCGGGTGGAGTTGACAGGCTGTGTGAATCACATGAATGGAAACCAGCGACAGCTTACACCATGTGTGTTTGTGTGTGTTTGTGTGTACGGCGTAGATTTCGGTGGGCGACAAGCACTGGCACCCAGCCTGCTTCCAGTGCACGCGGTGCGGCTGCCAATTGCAGGGCAAGCCGTGTGCTCCAAAGGGTGACAGCATTTTTTGCAAAAAGTGCTACAAAAAGATTCTGCGCAAGTAGGAACTTGGGACCGCATCCGCCAGTCCACTCATGTCGCGCGCACGGCCCAAGAGACATGCGCTGTTCTTGATGCGATCTAGCTTGGGCCTGGGTGTGTGCGTGGATTGTTCGAAAACTTGTTGGCTCTGATAGAGTACTTGGGTGTTGGCTCGCTTGGACGTTGGGATACTCGCAAAATCGATCATTTTGGTTGCACACTGTGTTTTCAATGGGGAGTCGCCAATTGTGGACAGAGCGCAAACAAAGCACGGTAAGTTTCATGCCGCACTCTCCTCGGAGCTGGGAGTGCAAATAAAAGGAGTTATCTGGCTGTGACGGCGAGGTGTTTGTCGCTAAGGGTGAGCTAGCGTGCTGCGTGGGTGGGACGCTTGGCGCCTGCCAAGCAAAAATTGTGGGGCCTTGGCGAGGTTGTTGGGTCCACAAGTCTCGACAGCCTAATTGCCCAAAAGAGCTGCATGGAGGGTGGGGTAGAGGAAGGGTGGTGCCATCAAGTTGGTCGACAACCTTGAGGGGGCGCACCGTCTCGCCATATAGCCTGCCGTTTGTGTACCTCCTCGGGACTTGCTGATGTCGGCATATGCGCCAGGTTGCTAGAGCACTTTTCGTTGCGCTGGTAGATTTTTTCATCACTTTACTCAACACATTCGTCAGCGAACAAGCTAAAACGTCTAAGCAATTGTTGCGGTTGTCTTGAACGTTGTTGTCGTTGCGTCAAACGCATCATCAACTTGTCAGACAGAGAGAGAGAGAGAGAGAGAGAGAGAGAGAGAGAGAGAGAGAGAGAGAGAGAGAGAGAGAGAGAGAGGAGAGAGAGAGAGACAAAGAGCATAACAAAAACAAGGTGTTTTGACCAGCTTCTCAAGTGTTCCTAAGCTTCCCTTTCTTCCTCCCCCCAATCCTTCTTCTCTCTGTCTGTCTCTCTCTGTTTCTCTGTTTTCCGTTTTGAGCTTGACGGGCGCGTGACAGCGAGGGAGGGGTGGTGACCACGGCAGCTTGGAAACGTCAAGGCATCTTGTGCCTGGCATGTGCTCCGGGGTTAGCAGTGCAGCTTGTGGCTTGGGTGTGGCCAAGGAATGCTAGCTTGAGCCTGGTCCCGTCGCTTGCGCAGTGAAGCTCTGCTCTGCGTGCGCTCTCACCAGAGGAGCAGGGCGAGCGTTGGTCAGCGCGACCAGAGAGGCGCGTCGTGCGCGACTGGCTCTTTTGTTCGCAACACGCCTTGTTCCCCTCACCTTCATCATGCCGGCCTGCGGGTCATGCGGCTTTACGTGCGACTTTGACGCCGCCTTTTGCAATCAATGTGGATCCTCCTTGCAATACTTTACCCCCTCAGACGCGGGCACTATCGAGTCGCGAGGTTCCTATGTGGACATGGATGAGAGCCTGCGGCTTTCACAAATGCAGCAGCAATTTTATCCCCTCCCACCCGAGGACCTGGATGCCTGGTCTGAGGCCGATACCGAGAGCGGCGACGAGGAGCAGGACCATACGCCGCGCCATGGTGCTGTCCTTGACGAGCCCAATCAAATGAGCGTCCCATTTAGAAACGGCGCAGCAAATTCCAGCACGAGCCAGCACCTCGCGCCGCCTGCAGAAGGGTCGCTCATGGCTCGTTTGCGGCGTATCGCTGAACAGCCACCCTCGGCCACACTCTCTACCACAGACCCCAGTGTTGACATTAGCATAAGCAATCATTCCGATTCCGGCAGCCTCTACAGCACGCAAGTTGCAGTGTCCGGCGTTATACCGCGTCGCGTGGCCAGCAACGTGCTGTTGCAGCATAAGCCAGGCACCTACTTGCTCCGTGCGCGCAGTGATGGGCGCATGGGGTTGGTGCTTGCTGTGCGCCAGCACGACCATGTGGCCCACTATTTGATCTGTGACGACGGCTCCAACAACTCCTTTCGCCTCTTCTCCCACCACAACTCCAACATGCCCAGCTTTCCCTCGCTCAAGGTATGCTTGCCAGCATCGGTTACTCTTTAAAGGGGCGTGGGATGTCTCAAACAGAAGCAGAGGGCTCATCTTGTTGGGGGTTCGGTTCTCCGTTTTCGCCCCGGTGTGCGCCGGCCGTGTGCATACATGCGGCAATAGAATTTGATTGACTACTACAAGGTGCATCCAATCGGCGAGCAGGTCTTAACGTGCTCGACCGACGTTTTTGAGTGCCATCGTACACTGAAAAACGATCTGGAGACTGCGGCAGCCGAAGTTCGCCGAGCAGTGTTACATGCCGAGGATCTGATCGATGTATGTCAGCCGAGAAATCTGTAGGGTGTGGTGTGGGGTCTCAGTCGTTGTTCCTTACTCAATTCTCTCCTTTTCCCCCCTTTGGGTTTTGGCGCGCATCTTCTTTTTGATGACAGGTTTTATCACTGCAAGAGTTTCTCAAGACGGGGGACGCCGAGGGCCGCCTCTTGCCGGATGACATGCGCGAGTTGTCACTGTCACTCGAGTCGCGTCGACGCCTTTTTGCAACAGGCATGCCTGTGGAGCGCTGGGTGCCGGATGGCGATGCAGATGTCTGCCAATGCTGCCAGGTATTGAGTCGGTCATGGATCATACGTGCAGGCCAAGGATTTGAGAGAGAGGGCAACGGAGGAACAGCAGAAAGACAGAGACAGAGACAGAGAGAGGACACATCTCCGCCGAATGAAGATCATGCCTTTCACCCACACGATGGATGCGATGCTTCAACTTGTGTAGGCGACGCAGTTTGGCACCTTGAAGCGACGGCATCACTGCCGATCATGCGGCCACGTCATTGCTGGCTGCTGTGTATCGGGAGCCATTCATGTGCAAGATATCCAATTGGAAAAGGTGCGTTCAAGCCCGGGAAAATGCCGCCTTGCTCAAGCGTCAAGCTAATTGCCTTTTGTCGGAGTTGTCAGTGCTGTCCTAACCAAAGCTCATTGGCCATGCATCCATCTGTGCCACTGGCAACCCTTTTCAGGTGTGCCGAGACTGTTTTGCCAAGCTCCAGCCCTTGCTCGAGTCAACCAGCCCCGTTGTACGTCGCCGGCGGCGAGCCAGTACCCGGGGTGAGGCCACACATACATACGCCGTCCCACACGGACAACTACGGCGACAGCAGGACGCCGAGTTTCTCAGCTCTTCCGTGGGTTCGCGGCGTTTCAGTTATCACGGCTTCTCACAAAATGGCGATGGTGAATTTGTGTCCTCTCGCCCTGTCTCTACCCTCTCCTGACCGCCACAAATGCAAGCGCCTCTCGTGTCCTTTTGCGTTGCTGGCGCCCCCGGCCTTGTGCCGAATGTTCTTGCTTGACTGCAGCTCGCTCGCAGTCGCTCGCATGTGTGTGCTCGCGCTTCTCGTGTTGGATGTGTCAATGGGAAAAGCCCTTCGTCTGCAGGTAACGCCGTGCGTGACTGCAAGTTTCCTGTTTCCCATGGGTTCATACCCCTTCCATGTTCTTGTTCTTGTTCTGACTTTTTCTCGTGAAACGCCATTTGTGTCGTGCCAGTCCTGCCTCCATATCATCCTCGATTCTCATTCTATGCTTTTACCCTATTCAATCGTCTCACTGCCATTGCAAACGTTGCTCCGAGACTCATGCCTTCATGCCTCAACCGTGCTGCGGTTGCGGACCAATTGAACCTTGGGCTCGCTTTGGTTCCCGCCACCGCTGTCATGTCCATCTCATGCATGCCTCACTCTCATGCGCCCCCCTTTATGAAATCAAAGGTGCACACACACACACACACACACACACACACACACACACACACACACACACACACACACACACACACACACACACACACAACCCATCCAGTGATCAACTTTATCTGACAACGAGCAAACGAAGAAGGTTTCACATGCACACAACGGACGGACGGACACAAGCAAAAAAAAAGGGCAGCCCACAGGCGCAGTGCAGCTTGGACGAGTCTCGGTCCTCAGTCCAAGGCTCGATCACTTTGCTCATCTCGCGTCCGGTTTGCGTTGCGGTTGCGGGCTGGTGAGCGTCTTGCTTGCTGCGGAATATCTGGCTGACCAGGTCCTGCCTTGCCAGAGCACCTGTCAAAGTCAGCATACGCATTGGTTTGAGTGACAATTGTGTGTGTAGTGGAGCCATTTCCTCCTTTCACACCTGTTGGTGCATGTGGCCGACTTCACCGCCACCGCCTTCAGCACAGAGAGTTTTGCTCTCCTGCTGAGAAGCAAGCCTCGGGTGTACGCTGCTCCTGGTTCTCGCCGATCGTAGCGCAGCTCAGATTTGTTCTACCACTAATTCTTGGCTCCAAGGTTTGATCAAAACCACTTGTCACACAACCAAGGTGATGGTGGTGCAAGGCCGGCGCTGGCTGGCATGGGCTCTGCTAGTGCTGGTGCTGGTGCTGCCAGAGCTGCCCGGCACGCACGGCACTGAATATTCAGACTGTCTGGAGCTGTATTCAGATAACAAGTGCCTACACCCACGCGGCACGGGTACCCCGGGCAAATCGAAGCAGTCGGTTTACTGCGTGGACCACGACGACGCGGAGACGTGCATCGATGCAACTGACTTTCTCGAGAGCTACACCATTGACTGCAACACCAGTATCATTTCCGTCTGGGTGGGCACTTCTGGTATCGGCTGCAAGCAGGATGCGGGTCATTCCAACATCTCCATGTCCGGATGCACATTCCTCTTCAAAGCAACAGGCGAATCAAACGTCTACGGCAGGCTCAAATGTAACACAGTGGCCCAGCGAGATGAGTCAGTACCTTACCGTATCTGGTCCTCGCGCATGCTTTACTCCCGCTTGTGTCCGCAATTGGTTTCGTCAATACCAAACTCTCGCCTCCAACGTCTCACCTTTGCTTTACCCTGCCTTCTGGGTCCTGGGCCTCGGCGTGCCTATAGCACCACTGCCTCCTTTGTGGTTGCCTTTGCCTTTAATGGCCTTGTTGGCCTTTTGTGCATCATCATTTTTGTCTTCGTGCGCCCACGCTTCCCGCAGCTCTACGAGCCTCGAACCCTTGATGCTGATACCGAGGTGCTGGCAGTGACACGCTCAGACCGCACCCCCTCACGTGAATGGCCTTGCATGGCCCATGACATCGTCCTATCTCGCCTTGGTTTGAGCTGACGATGGCCGGGTGTCTTGCTCTATTGGGCCCCGTCTACTGCAGATGCGCGCAGCTGACCATGGCTGGGTTGGCTGGCTTCGGAGCATCCTGTCCATCGGCGACGATGAAATCTTTCGCAAGTGCGGCCTCGACTCGACCATGTACCTAGTTATGTTCCGCTATGCCACCTTTCTGTTCTTCTGCATGGCCTTTTATGTCCTCATTGTACTCATGCCCATCAACTCGCGCGGCAAGTTTTTAAGCGGCTTTCTGTTTGCACACGTCCACATGCATCGACTTTGCTGATGTTGACCAGAACCGGCGCACATCTAACCGCTCCTGGATGTGCGATCATTTTGTGTTGGCAGGTGAAATTCAAGAGCACGGCATCGACCGTGTATCCCTGGCCAACGTCCCTGAAGGCTCTGACTACCTCTGGGCGCATCTTGTTGCTGCTTATCTTGTGGCTCTCCTAGCCATGTATCTTTTGGATCATGCCTACCGCAAGGTATACTCCACTTTTGACCCTCGTCCGGGCTGCTGGCTTCAGTGTTGCTCCCTTCCTTCGCCCTACTAATGACATTGGGCTCGCTGACCTTGACCCATGATCTAGTTTGTGCGATTTCGTCGCGAGTACTTGCAGAATCGCCGCGCAGATAGTTACGTGGTCATGGTGCGCGACATTCCTTCATCTTGCCGAGACGATCGAGGCCTAGCCCATTACTATCGGTCAGTGCCCTACATGGCGTGGATGGCTATGAGCAGCATGTCGTTTTCGCACTCAGTGAGGAGGCTCGTTGCAGTGATATTTACCCAGACGTCCTGGCAGCTACACGCGCGCGCAACATTGACGCTTTGCATCCTGTTTCGGAGCAGCGCCTCAAGGTATGGTGCCCTATGCCACACTTCTTCGGACGATTGTCTTGTTCAAGTGACCATTTGACCATAACGCTTCCAAGGAGAGAAGTCATTGATGCCGCTGGCCATGCGTCACCCGCTGTCTCCTGTTCTGGTGGCAAATTAGACCGCTATTAAACTCGAGCGCTACACCTTCCGCGATCAGCGGGATGGCGGGACGGCGCGCATGTCGATTGGTGGCACTTGCAGTGGCGATCAGCGTCCAGCTGTGGAGTATCTTGGTCGCACTCTTGAGCAGCAGAATGCCGACGTGAGTCAGAAAAAGTTGCGCGGCGCTGGTATTTCCTTATCCACGATGCTCTTCTTTCAAATCTTGTTGTGTTCTGTTTTTCGCCGCTGCATTTTGATGGCCGCGCCTGTGACCTTGTTTGGTTTGAATAGTTTGCAAGCGCACGACGCTCCGCAATCCACGTCAACAGTTATCATGCCACTGGATTCGTGGCTTTCGCTTCCCAGCGCAGTGCCACCGTGGCCGCACAAGTGCTGCACTGTGCCGAGCCCTATACTTGGTCAACACAGCGTGCACCGGAGCCACAGGACCTGGTGTGGGAGAACATTGGTGTCACCTCCCAGGAACGAGCGCATCGCACTGCCATCGCCTCTCTGATCACCGGAGCTCTGGTACGTCGTTTGGAAATAGTATTTCGCGCGGGCGTCTCATTTCTTGGCTCTCATTCAAGTCTTCACACTTTGAACCGAATCACATGATGAATGCTTATGACTTGCTGCCATGGGCGTGATGACTGCACTATTTGGCAGGTGGTTTTGTGGGTCATTCCTGTCACCTTTGTGGCATCCATTACCACTCTGGAAACTCTGGATCTCTGGGCCGATGGGCTCGACGATGTAGCCGATGCCAGTCCGCTCGTGCAGGGCATGGTGCAAGGCGTGATTCCTACACTCTTGCTCGTCATCTTCATGGCCGTCCTTCCTGGCATCATGAAATGTGTGTTTGGCCTGCTTTTGCTCTTGCCAAGCCCACACGAAGCTTTGCTGGCGTTGGCGCTCCTTTCACGACGTTTGTGCGCAATGATCGTTTTGGCCTCCCCAGTCATCTCGCGCAAGGAGGGCATTGCAAGCAAGTCGGAAATTGGCCGCTCGGCCATGGCAAAGCTGTTTTGGTTTCAGGTCAGCTACTGACACCCCTGGTGTGGTGTGAGGTGCTGCACCTATGTTCACATATCATGCCGTCTTCTATAAAAACCCGTAGATCTTGAACGTTTTTCTGGTTTCCTTCATTGCGGGCAGGTGAGGCTGAGGTGCAACTGTGTATCAAGCCTGCATGCCACTCGGCATATTCTCTGGACAGTACAGCCACATCGGGCGCCACAATCGGTTTTCTCGATCGGTACCCCTGCTCACGCGTCCATGTGTGAATGATTCGCACCGGCAGTATTTTGGATATAGCCGACAACTTTTCGCGCGATCCGCGAGGTGTTCTGAAGCTCTTGGGTGGAGCCATTCCCCGCACCGGCACTTTCTTCACTACCTACGTGATGCTCCGCTGTGTGTCCTGCTCAAAGTCTTGCGCTTTTCCCGGAGAATGCGTCTAGTTTTGTTGATTGCTGATCATACTCATCTCCATCGTTTGTGCTTTGTTACGCTGCCACTTTGCCAAATGCAGCGGTAACGGGTTACCCCACGATGCTTCTACGAGTTTGGGAGGTGCTGTGGTCTCTCATCGTCGGGGTAAGTTCATGGTTGTTGCGTTAAAACATCTCGTACCGTACGCTAAGTCTGTTCGTTGCCCTTTTTTCTTCGTCTTTTGGGTCGACAGCTCTTTTATACTCAAACGCCACGCGAACTGGAGAAGGCGCGCCGCGAAGAAACATGGAATGTAGCTCCCGCAGCTGCCGGTTGGTCAATGCTCTTTCGCTGCGTCGACCGCTTTTGCGCGCGCGCGCGCGCGCGCGCGCGTGTGTGTGTGTGTGTGTGTGTGTGTGTGTGTTGCATTGCTTCTGGTTGTTCCCGTTTCAGTGGTGCCGGTCGGTGCACGAAACTTACCAACGACTACGTCGATGTGGTGCCTGCTTTGAACTCCTCGTCTCCATAGGTGACATTCTGGTTTTTTTGGTGGGCGTGGTGTATGTGGTGGTGACCCCCATTATTGCTCCTTTTCTCGTGCTGTACTTTGGCCTCGGCTACTTGACCATCCGTCACCTCCTTTGTACGTGGGCCACCGCGTAGCGTCTGCCTTCCTCAAGACGGCCACAGACCCGCTCACTCACCTTGATCTTGCGCTTGCATGGGTAGACTACGTGTATCGACCCACGCCGGATTCTGGAGGGCTATTGTGGCCCATGCTGTTCAATCGGTTGATGGTGGCGCTGCTGATTGCCGAGTTGGTCGTGGCGGGCGTCTTTTCTGTCAAAAACAATCCTCCAGTGGTACGGCCCTGCCATTCCCTGGGTTTGGGGTCCCTTGGGACCAGATTTTATGGCCTGTGAAGAAAATGAATGTGTGCGCCCATCATCTCGCGTCTTCTGATGCCATGTTTGTGTTGTTCACCATATCGGGTGCCATCTGTAGGCGGCGATGATGCTGCCCCTGGCAGCTTTTACGCTTTGGTTCTGGTTCCGCACTCACAAGGGCCTTGAGGCCGTGGGGGATTATCTGCCGATGGAGGTTGCCGCGGAGGAGGCCCCCTTGGATGAGGCAGACTTGCAAGACTATGTGCAGCCCGAGTTGCTGGAGGTGGATCATTTGGAGCTGCACCACCTATCACACACGTCATACACGCTGAGTGACATTCCAGAGGACTTGAAGAGCAAGCTCATTTACCAGTGTGATGAAACTGATAAAGGCACCACCGGGGTTGCTGCGGCGTTTCGCCGATCATCGGTCAACGTGGATCGCCCTCCCAGTGCAAGCAACACCGCGATGACAGCATTCGAGGAGGAGGCTGACGTTGAAGCCTGAGCCTGTCTGGTCCATGTTCAGTCATACCTTCTTTTTCGTTTATCTTTCTTTGTTGTGCTCGTTGCTTTGCCTCTTCACTGGCTTGAGGCTGGTGCCTCCAGCGATGACACTTGTTGGTCGCGTTTGTGGTCCGCGCGTCAAGAATTGCAAGCCTCTTTATCCTTCAGCCATTCGCCATCAGCCATAGCAGGCTGGTGCAGAAAATTCAACAACAGCTGTCAGCTGTGTGCAATTGATTGTCATCATTTTTGAGTCGACCGCGTGAGCTCTATTCTTCTGCCCTCTCTCTCTCTCTTTGTGACGGCAAGCAGACGTTTGACAGCACGATCCACGGCGATGGGACGCGGTGGTAGTGGTGGTGGAGGCCGTGGAGGCCGTGGTGGGGGCCGTGGTGGACGCGGAGGCCGGGGAGGAGGCCGTGGGGGTCGTGGTCGTGACAAATCGAGTCATCGCCGACAAGCAGCGGAGCGTGATGCGGGGGCTTGGGAGAACGAGCGCGTGGCCTCAGCCATTGATGGGCGCGAACGAGACACGGGAGAGCCATCCAAGTTGGTGTTCGAGCTGGCCATGTGGGACTTTGCACAGTGCGATCCAAAGAGGTGCACGGGGCGCAAGCTCATCCGCATGGGATTGTGCCGTGAGCTCACACTGCGCAACACGTTCAAGGGCATTGTGCTGAGTCCAGATGCCAAGCAGTGCCTCTCACCGACGGACAAGGACTTTGTTCTTGAGTCCGGCATTGCCGTCGTTGATTGCTCTTGGGCCGAGCTCGAGGCCGTGCCTTTTACAAAAATGCGCGCCAACAATGTTCGCTTGTTGCCCTATCTTGTCGCTGCCAATCCGGTCAACTACGGCCGGCCTTTGAAGCTCTCCTGTGTCGAGGCCTTTGCGGCCTGCTGTTATATCCTGGGGCTGCAAGAAATGGCCGTCGAGCTTCTGGCCAAGTTCAAGTGGGGCCACTCATTTCTCGATCTGAATGTAGAGCTGCTGGACAAGTATGCTGCCTGTCAATCATCAGAGGAGATGCTTGAGTGTCAAGCGCAGCATATGCAGCAACTGGCAGATGAGGCCGAAACCCGGCAAACCTTTTCATACGACTTGAGTGATCTGGATCTTGAAGGTGAGGGCCAGCTCAATGCTAGTATGCAGCACTTTGAGCTTCATGGCGAGGAGGATGATGAGGACGAGGCCGAGGACAAGAGCGAGGATGCGGAGGATGCGGAGGAGGACCAAGAGAATGACGAGTAGAATCACAAGACGGTTCACATCCGGCAGATCTGGTAGCGGAGGCGGTGAACTCTGAAGGCATTTTGACGTTCTTGGTGGTGGTCTGCGACCCCTTCCTGATGACCAAGACTCAAAACTTCTCCTGAGCCTCTGACGCCATACGTGGCCCGCTCTTGAATGTCTCTTTGCATCAACATCCTCCTCTCCTGGGCTATTATGATGTGATGCGTTTTGGACTTTGGAATTTGTAGTTGGCTTTTGGGTTCCGC